GGGTTCAAAATGCAGGATGGCTTGATCCATGCATTGGCAATATTGATCCAGTGGATGTAAACTTCAAGCTAGAAGAAGAATGAACTGGATCTCAGTGGAATGTTCTTGTACAGTCGCTAAAGAAACTCTTTCTTGAAACACATTCAAAGAACCTTCCAGCAGCTAAAGCAGATAAAGAAAGAAATGGGACATCACAAAATGAAGTGGTTGTAGATGATATCAGCTACTTGGACAAAAAATTCAAAGCCAAGAAAGAAGAAGAACAGAAAATGATAGATGACATTGCCCAAACATTTAGTTTGAATGAAGAGCAGGAAAGAGCATTCTGAATTGTGGCCAACCATGCAACTATGAAAGAAAGTGAGCAACTTAAAATATATCTGGGAGGTATGGGTGGAACAGGAAAATCTCAGGTTATAAAAGCATTAATAGCTCTATTTGATAAACGTAATGAAGCACATAGAATTATGATATTGGCACCTACTGGATCTGCTGCTGCTCTATTGAATGGCTCAACATATCATTCAGCTTTAGGTGTAAAAAGTGATTCCCGAAGAAGCCATAATGAGCAGTCAAATATGGCACAAGTTAGATCTCGTTTGGATGGTGTAGACTATATATTTCTAGATGAAGTGTCCATGATCTCATGTTATGAGCTATATAAAATAAGTGCACAACTGGCAAAAGGAAGAAACAATATGGATGTACCCTTTGGTGGAATCAATATGATTTTTGCAGAAGACTTTGCACAACTTATGCCAGTACTAGGCCAGGCCCTTTATAATGGGAATGTTGGCACATCAGTGGATGCCTCCATGTCAGAACGTGGGCAGCAATCTGCTATAGGTAAAGCACTTTGGCACCAAGTTACTACAGTTGTAATTCTACGAAAAAATATAAGACAAAATACACAATCAGTGGAAGATGCCAAGCTAAGGACAGCTCTAGAAAATATGAGATATGCAGCATGTACTGCTGATGACATTAAATTTTAAGAAGCTGTGTTGCAGGAAGGTGGCCTGATCAGCCAAAGTTGGCTGACAAACGTTTCAGAAATGTCTCTATCATTACTGCTTTGAACTCCCAGAAAGATCGAATCAATGAATTGGGTTCTGTGTGTTTTGCTGCAGATACTGGCCAAACCCTCACTGACTTTTACTCTGTGGATACACTGGGGGTTGAGTGTGATCCAGTCACTGGTAAAAAGCCTCGTGGAAGACCTAAGAAAACTGCTATATACAAAACTATCAGTCCAAAGCTTCAAAATTTACTTTGGAACTTGTGCCATTTGGCCTCTGATCATGTTCCCAGAAAACTTTCACTGTGTATTGGTATGCCAGTTACTTGTGGGTGTGGGCCAGTGCTTTGCATGGCATGTATGAGTCCTTTCTGTGGACTCTAAATTTAATATTAGGAAATTGGTCATGTAATCACTTTATGATTTTCTGAGTTTTGTTCTATATTTGCAAATAGACCCTGAGCTCTGAGCCTAGCCATCAATATCATAGCAACAATGTGTGCTATTCTTATTTTTCTTTGATTTTTTTTTTGATTTTATAGCAAATTTTCCCAATTTTATAACTATTTTTCTGTTTATGGTAAAATATTCCCACAGTCCTGTCTGCATATATCTCAGGAAAGAGGATGGTTAGTTATATTTTGTGACCTATAATAGCATGCTCTATATATTTGTGATGAATTTCCTTTTTTGGGTTAAAATTCCCACGGTATCAGAAGCACTGCCTCTCACTGAGCTCCATAAACAACAATTGTAGCCCCTTTCCTTACCTTTATAGATATATATAAATAATGTCATGCAGACCATTCCTCATTGAGAAAAACACAAAATACTGAAAAAATTGGACACTTTTTGGAAATTGTCATGCATTTTTGACGAATATCTCAAAGAGCAAGAAAGCTGGTCTCAAGATATAGTCACATTGCATGATATGACAATATTTTTACATAGTTGTCTTTATTTCCATATTTGGATATGGACCCTGAATACTGGACACAGCCCCTTCAACACCATGGCAACAGAGAAGATCACTCTTAATTTTGGGGTATTTTTTTCTGATTTTCTGGCAACTTTTAGGTGGTTTCTATATTTAGATATTGACCCTGAACCCTGAACACAGCCTCCCCACCTTACTAAACAATATTCCGATTTTTACATATTTTTTGCTGATTTCTTTTACCATTTTTCCTGATTTTATGGCTGCTCTTCTGTTTAAGGGAAAAGGTTCCTGCGGTGATGAAAGGTAAATGAATCAATGAATGAAAAATTTGCCTAAGTCCTCAGTTGATAAAGAATGAGTCTTACTCGTAAACTTGTAAGGACTCATAATAATACAGAATAATGATGCAACAGAATTATGTATAACAAAAGGTCAAAAAGGTCATGTTGTTGGATGGGATGCAAAGTTGGGCCCAAGTGGACAACAAATCCTTGAAACTTTGTTTGTAAAGCTTGATCGTCCTGCCAAGACAATCAAGATTGAGGGATTGCCTGAAAATGTAGTTCCATTAGTAAAGAACAGCATGTCTATTGAATGTATCTGTCCAAGTGATGTTACTCTCACTATATCCTGTTCTCAGGTATCTGTGCTACCTAACTTTGCAATGACAGACTATGCATCACAAGGAAAGACTCGTCCATTCAATGTGGTGGATTTAAATAGCTGTCGTAACCACCTATCTTACTATACTGCTCTTTCTAGAAGTGCAACATGTGAAGGAACTGTAATTGTACAAGGATTTGACCCATAAAAAATCACCTGTGGTGCATCTGGTTATCTTCGACAAGAGTTTAGAGAACTTGAGCTTCTTGATGACATTACCAACCTTAGATACAATGGCCAATTACCTGCATCAATCAATGGGCAACTGTGTAATGCTCTTTTACATCAGTATCAACAGCTCAAAGGGAAGGGGTATTGTCCACAAAACGTGATGGGGCCAATTAGATGGAGTGAAGTGTATCCAATGCAAACTTTTCAGGTGATCACTGATAGTTTATGGACACTCACCACAAAATCAACCACTCACAATGCAACTGAAGAGGTTGAGATCCAATCACAAAAGAAAAGTAAAAATGTCTCAGGTTATTTTGTTCCTACACAGGGATCAAAGGCAATTGCATCTACACTCAAAAGAAAGGCAGAAGAGGATCTAAATATTGATGAACCAAAGTCAAAGAAAATTAGAGCCAGCTTTGGACCTACACCTGACATTCCAGTTGGGATTCTTTGGGATTCGGTAAATTACAGTTGCTCATATGATTCCCATTTACTTGTGTAAGAGGGCCATTGCAAGCATGGCAGATATGAGTCCTTTTTATATTCAGGAAGCCACAATGCAGCACCACAGCATTCACATTTTTGATTATTTAGGAAACTGGTCATGTGACCACCTCCTGAAAGCTCATCAGATCTATACCCATTATATATATATATTATTGCTATTTTTTATTGGACAAATTGTATATTTCCATGTATATAAAATACTGGACCTTACAAAGAGTCCCTACCTTGAAAGTGACAATAAGTACTATGCTCCATTTTTCACTAAATTTTTCCAGTCCTTTATAGCTATTTTTAACTAGATTATTATGTATGGAATTTCTTCTGGACCCTGAACATGCTCCCCAGTATTGCACAAACAGTGAGCATCTTCCTTCAATTTCTTTCTGATTTTTCTACTATTATATTGCCATTTTTAAGTACTGAAAAAATCCTTGAGATCAGAGAGTAACAAACTAGTGTCTTTATAAACTCAGAGGACTCATAACATCATTGCTAACAATGAGCACCATATTCCAACTTTCTCTGATTTTTGTGTTATTTTCTGGCAATTGTTGAATAAATTGCCATATAAGGAAATGCACCTGGGACCCTTGAAACAGTCCTAACATCAACATCAACAGTTAGCACCATTCTTCAATTGTTTTCAATTTTTTCTGCCATTTAATTGCTATTTTTCAGTTGGACAAATGCTGAGTGCCATATACGGAAATTTACCAGAGACCCTGAGAGTGTTTTCAAATGTTGTCACCAACAGTGAGCACCATCAGCCATTTTCTTCTAATTTTTGTGCCAATTTATTGCTACTTCTTCATTTGAAAAAGCTTGCATTAGCTTGATTTTGTGCAAACATATATCTATTTGTGCACATAGCTTTTATTACATAATATACATAAAAACAAACTGTATTTTTCTTGGTGTTTTATTTCATTTATTTTAGATTTTATGTTGGTGAGCTTCAGATTCTTCTTTGAAAAAGTATGTTTATTTGGACTTTGACCTTATTACATAATATATCTCGATGAATTGTATACAGGTATGATCCCTGAAATTTTACATTTTTTCTGCATTTTATTTCATCTGAATTGGACTTGATTTGGTAAAGTTACACATTTTTCCTTAGGCAATGCTTGGAACTCAAGAAGCGATGACGCATGAACATTTCCTGATCACTTGATGGGGGACAGTTTCGTTCGTCATAGTAGATCTCAGATCAGTTACCATTTTCGGTAATAAATACAGATTCATGTATAACTCAGTGAGTTTTGATCCAAATGACATGATTTCTTTTGTGATGGGTACTCCTCATTTCCGTGGTCATGGTGATGTTATGGTAAACAAACACAAATGAACAGTTGCAAAAACAAAATAGATGATAAATTTTACATCTGATCAATGCTGATACTTAAAAGACTATTGATATACAGGTTAAACAGTCACAAATATTCACAAATAAGTGGGAGTCATTTCAATGTTGATTTTGGGATGTTATAGGGTGCACAGAATCTCTAATTGAGCTATAGCATGTATTTCTGAAGTAGATGACATGATCTATTTCCTTTTTAAACAATCTTTGCCACAATATACAAATGCAGGGGGGGCAGATCTCAGGGGGTAAGTTTTAGATCTCATCTCTCATCTCTTGTCCTCTTGGCATCACAGATTCCGATGATGCATGAAACTTTGCACCATCAAATGATCGGGAAATGTTCGTGCATCATAGAATCTTAAGCATTTGTACTGAGGCTGTGCAACTTTGGTAGTATTCATCATAGATTCCGATGACACACGAAACTTCCCCCCATCAAATGATCAGGAAATGTTCGTGCGTCATCAAATCTAGCTCTTCAAGTTCAACTTCCCACGGCACCTTCTCTTTGCCACAGCACCCTCTCTTTGTGGTGCACTCTGGTGTTTTGCTGAGTGCTCTTTCTTTGTCTTGGCCAGTCCAAACGATTTGTGCAACATATCTACTGCATACTATCTGTCTCCTTTGCACACTTATCATCGTCTTGGCCAATCCAAACGATTCAAGTGCCACGTATCTACCACAATTGTCTCATTGAGCAATACGCCAGCTTCACCATGCCATCTCTATGCACCTGTTGTCGTCTTGGCCAGTCCAAACACTTCGACCATGTTCGTCTTGTGGAGTAATTCACTGGGTTCTCCAATCCCACCATTTCCTCTTCATTGCACGCATGCTAAGCACCAAGATCCAAGCACATGGATTCAATTACCATCAACTGTGCAAGGGCTTTATTTAACATAAATGCCTCCCCATTCTTTCCTTCCCTCCCTCTAACGCCAAACCCGATTCATATGCATCTCTTCCATCCACGTCAAGTTATTAGGTATGCATATCCTTATTACATGTTATGATGTGGTTATGTCAACTTCCATGTCATAGTAATGCCTACAATGTATCTGCGCATAAGATCCAGACCATGCAACCTGATGGACCAGAGGACAAATATTTTGTGGTTGATGGCAGATGTCTTAGCTACAATGAACACCGTGATGAATGCTTCCCCTACTTGCCACCCATCCCCTGGTGCATAACACTGTCGCCATCAAATGCATCCTTGTGTACATGGTAGACACACATCATCAATTCTTGCTCTTCACTCCAAGGCTGTGCAAGTTCAACTTCCCACGTCACCCTCTCTTTTGCTGTGTGCTCATTGTCTTTTGCTGTGTGCTCATTGTCATCTTGGCCAGTCCAAATGCTTCGCACAAGTATTAGTTACCTTACCCCACTAATACTGAGCCCCCCGACCATACAAACAGACCATAGTTGATGGTGCCTGCTGATGAGCCCATGGATCAGTTGACCCCATCAAAGGTGGACCGGCCATCAAGACTCTCTTAGGACTGGTACTGTGCATCGGCTGAGAAGTGTACCCCATGAATTGACATAGCTAAAAATGCCTTGGATCCTGGGTCAACCGTTCTCTTCATGGATTGGGCTCAACATGTGTCATGGGTCAGCTGAAGAGCTCTAAATCCCATGCATTGTGGATCAGCCCACAGCTGTCTCATTTTTATTTGCCAAGTTTACCTCGGCTTTTCATTGCCGGTCATCATGCAGTTTACTGGGTCGGGTCCATCACCTACCAAGAAGCCGAGCACGGTGACATGGTCAGTCAGCTAGTACCCCATGAATTAAATATGCCTTGGATCCTGGGTCAACCCGTCTCTTCATGGAATGGGCTCATGTGTCATGGGTCTGCTGAAGAGCTTTGAATCCCATGCAGCATGGATCAGCCCAACCTGGTCCCATCCAGTTGACACTATATGGCCGAGTTTCGTCTTCACTCAGGTTTTATTTGCCAAGTTGCTCAAACATTACCTCGGCTTTTCTTTGCCGGTCATGGTCCAGTATTCAGTCATGCAGTTTACTGGGTCCATGACTTCCCAAGAAGCCGAGCACGGTGACGTTCACAAGGCAGTGAAATATATTATGCACACCCCCGGTTCAAAATCCCTACCAAGTTTATACCGACCAATGTTTCTTGTAAACATACCCATGTTGGAACGGGTCTGGCTCAAACAACCGCACTCGGCTGCCTGAAATAAACGCCAAGCTGTTACTATGCCGGTCTCCATTGGACAAAGTTGCTCCAAGATCCCCCCACTTTTCTCTGCCGGTCACAGTTTACTGGGTCGTGAAAGAAGCCGAGGCCTTACTGCTTTCATTATTGTCCACCACAGGACTTCATATTAAATATGCCCAAAAAAAAATTGAAGATTGTCCAAAAAATATACATGTATGCTACTAACTATTAAGTAGACGGAGTTTGGACAGTTTGGACATCATTGTTTGTAACTTGCTGGCAGTCAGATTTTTGAATCCTCACCAAGTAGAAGACTTACTCTGTACGGGGGTTTGAAGTGTGGGTTCGAGTTTCTGTAGCCGATGTGACTTCCTATTACCCCCAATGTAAGGACCGGGCGAACTTGCCCGGGTTGGAGGAATTGGGTTTGGCGCCAACAGAAGGACCGCTGGGCTCTCAGATGCTGGAGGCAGAAAGACGGCCGGGGTTGGAGAGACTTGCGCGTGATCGGTTGAAACTGGGTTTGGCAGAACGACACCCGGGGTCGGGGAGACTTGTACCTGCTGGCTTTTCTGACCGCGGTCGGGTGAGACTGAGCGATCGGTATTGATGCCAGTGTGCTTCTTCTCCTTGTTGCCGAGGAACTGGATAATGAGCGATTCCAGACTTGATTGGTGAGCACCGAGCCGCAGGTTGAGCTCCGAAATAGTAGTGACTGATTTGGTGAGGTTGTGGAGCGTTAGCTCGGCAGTTTCGATGCGGCTTGCAAGTTTCTCAAAGCCCCGGGTGAGACTCTCTTGTAACGCAGCTGGCGTAGTCTCCCACTTGTTCTCCAGTGTCTTGACGGCTTCCCTCACCTCGGCTTCCAGTCTCTGGTGATCACTTCGGATGGACTGCAAATCTTCTTGTGTTTCCTTCCAACGCATGTGGGCAGACTCTTCAATACAGTCCATCCGGCGAGTTGCTCCGGTGATTTTTTCTTCCTGAAACCAAATGGAGGTCTCTAGACTTGCAATTTTCTCCGACAGAGGACGGCTAGCCAAATCTTGATCTTGAATACACCGGGTAATCTCTTCGAGCGCCAAAAGACGTTGTGACAGGGTCATGGGTGAGTCAACCGCCGGGGGGAGAAGGGCACTTGCGTCAATATCTTGTTTTCGGACCACAAATGCCGAATACTCTCGCATAGTAGGGGTAGACGACTCCATGACGCTGACTTGCGCTTGTTGGTCTCGGAGTTTCTGCAGGAGGTCGGCTTGGCCATGAGCAAGTCTTCTGATCTCCTGCTGCATCGTCTGCATGTCGAAGTTCGGTGGGGGGCTCAAGGACCTAAAGTCAATCTTCTTCTGATAGAGCGCCATGTCAACTAAGTTTTCAAGTTGAGAATCATGGGAAATGAGAAAACAACTTGAAACTTACGATGAACCTCCTTGGGATCTGGTGGGCTAACCTGCTGAGAACGGGATACCAAACGCGAACCTTCTGGCCAGGACGTGCGCTCAACAGGTGGGGGTGTAAAGCTTTGTTGCATATAATTGACAGCCAAGCCCAATTCTATAAACGAAGTCAGCAAAGAATAACGAGTTTCATGAATTTTTTACCCGGCCGCATTGCTAACTCAGGCACGATCCACTCCATCTCACTGGCTGGCGGCCCAATCTCCCGGCCCTTTCCTTTGTCAGTGTTGGTACCGACCTCGGTCTCAGTGCTCTTGAAAATCGCCGATGTGTGTGGTGTGGGTGGCTCAATGATTATGGTGGGAGTCACCTGGCCCACGTCTTTGTCGGCTTTTGGAATGGCACCGACCTCGGTTTCCTCATGTTTGACTTCGGCCATCTCTATGTTGATACCACCCTCGGACTTCCCCTTTCCCATTGTCAGACCAACCTCCATGTCCACGTCAATTGCATGCTCCACATCATGCCCGACTGCAGCCATTTCGACATCCTGCTTGCCCTTCTCTTTGACATCCACTTCAGTCACCCACCTTGAACAAGCTATTAGCCTTGTAAAATGTAAGAATGTATCCAGGCTAATAGGTTGTGTGGCCATTTATTTTTCTTGCCTTGGGAGAAAATATAATATTGGATTGGGTAGAAAATGTTTGACCTTTAATATTGTGACGAGAAATTTTTGGGTAGATAAATTGTGTTCAAAAATATCCTAGTCAAGTGAAAGTGGTCAGAAATATTTGAAGGGGTTCAGACTGGTAAGAAATATTTGAAGTGTGTCAGACTGGTAAGAAATGTTTGAGCCAAGTCAAACTGGCCAGAAATATTTGAGGTGTGCCAGAGTGGCTAGAAATATTTCAGTGGTGTGACATCACTCGGATATGTTCTAAGCATGTCACACTGCTGAAAAATCTTTTAGCCTTGTCACATGGCTCAAACATATCCGACCAGTGTCACAGGGTATCTGGGGTCCCAGTTTCAAGAAAAAAACTTGGTATTGTTGGTATAGCTTTCTCAATATTTTGCACATTGCTTTTCTTTTCTTTATCCAGATCACAACCCAATGTTTTGTCCATTTCAAACCATGTATGGTTCTATTCTATAACAGCTACTGAGGTTGAATTGAAGGGTGAAGAAAGGAGGGTTGGCAAAGGAAGTTGTCCACTCTTAATGTGAACTCATATAAGTTAGCATCACCCAGCAGCTTTCCCCCATTGTTTTCACCAACACCCCCCTTCTATCTGCCATGTTCACCATTTAAAACTCATCCAAGTTAGCATCCCCAGCAGCTTTCCCTCATTATTTTCACCAACACCCCCTTCTATCTGCCATGTTCACCAATCCGAGTTAGTGTGACATATCTCCAGTGCCTGTACAAGTTTCCTAGGTAATTTCCCTCTACAACATATA